GGATCCATGAATACATGAACTGTATTTGCAGGAGTCCTCAAAGCATCACAGCAGAAGAAGAGAGCAAAATGTAGCCAAAAACAACTTGCCGGCGTCGGCGTGAAAGATCAAAAGAAGAAGAAGAGTAAATATGTAAGTACATAACTGCCGGCAAGTCATCCTTGGCTGCACTCTACTTTCTGCCTCTTGTTGTGAGTTGAGAGAACCTTAAGCTACCTTCATGAGTGTGAGTGTGGGTGGTGCATATGGCTGTATATATAGCAGAAGAAGAGAAACAGATAAACATATATTATATTTCAGAGCGGCATCTATCTGAGATCACTCTGAGTCACCGATTTTCTATATCAGGATAATGCTTTATGGAAGACAGCCACATAAGGAAAGGGACACGTGCAACTCTATGCGTCTATCCACGTTATTCCCTTCATTTTTTAATCTCAACACCTCTTCCTGTGAGATCATCCATGAATCATCTACAACAAAATATCATTCATTTTTGAATTCATTCTCACACCCTCCTTGCATGCATTTTCATTGCTCTATGCCTGCTTTTAATTTCCTTAACTAAATCTTCTTCCACCTCTTTCCATGCACTGTCCAATCACTCCTAAAATATTTATATCATATCCCACCTACAAATTTCATGTCCATTCATTTCTAATTAAATCTGTGTTCAAGTCCTTAATTAAGACTATACATATTTGTTCTTTGAGATTATTTTAAAAGGAATCTTTCTTATGGTCAAAACAGTTACGTATGATTTCAGTATAAATTTAAGATTCATGTTAGTTTAAAATAATAAAATTACACACTTATATACAAAATATCATAAATTTAGTGTTTTAAAGTTTTAAATTAAAAATAATGTTAAGTCTTATGCGAATTTCAATCAGATAATATTTTAATGAGTATCTGCTCCAATAGAAAACAGAAAATGAAAACAATGGTGATCTGCATCTAGTTTGTACTTAAAGAAAAAGACAGAAAGTGATTTATAAGATATATGATATAATAATTTAAAATTTGCTTTTTAGTATATTTATATATTATTATTTATTATTCTATTTACTTTTAATTGATAAATACTATTTTAAGACATGAATTTGGTTCATTTATACAATTAAAATTAGTAAATATTTGAATTGATTGATTGAAAATTAATCAACTGTTATAAAATTGCCTTACACACATTATCCTAAAACAAAAACACTTGCCACATTCGTGCAAGATATTATTCACTGGATCCTAACATATTATATTTTGTTTTCAATGTCTTTCTTATTTGGTGATATCTAACGGGAGAATACAGTTAGGTTATTACTTAGTACAGAACGGATCTTCTTAGGGCTGAAAGGTGTATCCATCTCTCAAACTCAAAATTTTGTGTATGTTTAATAAAAATTAAATAAGGTAAATTTTTAATTTATTTTATAAAGTAGGTAATTTGATGTAAATAAATGATAAACGTAAAACTAAATATAATAAAGAATAAAAAATCTACTAAGATGCTTTTATTTTCTCTTATTTTTTCTCTTAAAGTTATTAATTGTTCGTGTTTATCTATTATTCTTTCTACATGTTTCATTTGTTTGTCAAAGAAAAAAAAAGATAAACACAAATTAATTATTTTTACTTTTATTTTTCACTCATATTGTTTTACTCTTGAAGAAAAAATAGTAATTCTATTTTGTGATATTTCATATATTTTTGTATCTTAATGTATTTTGTACAGTAACTTTTTATAAGCATAATAGGAATATTCAATTAATTACTTTCGTCAATATTTAATTAAATTTTAATAATTTATTTTTTAATGTTAAACTTATTTTTAAATAAGCATTTTGATAAAGAATAAAATAAGAGATTATTTTATAAAAAGAAAGTTACATGTAAATATAAAAACAACATAATCCAATTTCTACATATTAAGCATGATAATAATGATGTGTGATGATTCAATTAGACTAGTTCTTTCTTAAAATTTAATAAATTAAAAATAAGGAATTTCATATTAATTCTTTAAAACGTGATTAAAAAAACGTTCTTAAATATAAAATATTAAATGAATAAAAAAGATAAAATTAGAAGAATTTATATCAAATACATTAAAAACATAATGAAGAAATAACTGAGAATTTTAGTTTTGATTCAAAAGTTTAAAAAACGAAGAACATTCTTTTATACATATACATATATGATTTCTTTTATAGTTACTTTTATAAAAAAAATATGTATTTGTTTTTGTTATATTATGAAAATTGTTAAATATATAAATTTTGAATATATTATTTTAATTTTTTCAAAATTATTATAAAAATATATGACAATAACACATCTATGCCATAAAACTATATAAAAATAAGTTCGATTTATTCACAAAGTCATATTATTTTGTTGAATTGTAATGTGATCTTTATTGTAACCTTTTATATATATATCATTACTCTGTTTTCCATTTAAAAGGCTGAAAAGTAGAGAGCAGATAATAGTTTAGGGATTGACATGTGCGGAGCGCTGCTTTCATGGGTGGCATGTGTGAGATGTCTCTGCTTTAACCTACACCTCTCCCAAAATTCAGTTTCTTTCTTCTTCAATCAAAAACCTCTCATTAAAACCTGCATGCATCACCATAACTGTTTTAATAAGTAGAATCGATAACCACACTCACACTTTTATAATTTACTCTTGTCTAAGGTATCAACTTAGGTTGTTTTTCCTCAAAATGCAATTGCTTTCTTCCTGTATGTTCCAAATCCGAGCGATAGATAGATACATGTTAAAACTACTTTAATGTTCAATTAGTTTCGTATTACCAATAGTTAAGTTTTAAATATTCAATAAATATCATTACTTACCTTCTCATCTTGGTTTAATAAATTTTGTATTAAATATCTAAACAATTCAATATCATTTAAGTATGTTTTTATTTACTTAATCTCTGAATAAAACATTTGGAACAAACGGTTGATATGGTTGTCATCTCACCCATTTACATACAATGATAGAAGCCCTCAACTTCTGATAGCTGCCATGACGTGCCACTACAATTCTATAAAAGACGAGACTTTGTGTTTTTGAGGCGTGGGAAATGGATTGGAATAGAATCCTATTCACGGCTCTCTCAATTTCTTGCCAAACCCATTGCTTATTTGTTACGCTATAACTTATTTTATATTAATTAAAATTAATTATCTCAATAATATTTGGGTCGTGTTTATGGGTTTTCATCAAAATCAAACTGAAGAGATAATAAAATGAAAGGCCACAAATTTGAGAAATTTCAAATTCTCTATTTTGAGTAATCTATTTGCTTTCATAAACTTTAAAGGTAATTGTTTCGGGTATAAGGTTTGAGGACGTCCTACGCTCAAAACACTCCATGTTGTGTTAAAGATAGGACAGACCTTGATGACCGGACGAACGTTGAAGACTAGTCGGGCCATGTAAATATTTCAAGCGCTCCAAACTATGGGACCGGACGGTTACGACGGTTACCTGTTTTGTTGAGGACTGGGCGTACACTCCGACGCTCAAGTCAGTAAAATGACCGAGTGTTTATTATAGCAAGTAGAGCATATATTATGCAACATCTGGTCGAAGTCATACCTGAGACCTTAATTTATACTAGCTGTAATGGGTTTTTACCTTTCGTGGGCCTGATGACGGTCCAATCACACCTTAACCTCCATTAGGGACTTTAATAAGATAGGCCAACCATGTGGTCGGCCAGGATTGTAGGCCTGGTGGTCGGCCTAAAAAGAACTGTTCGACTTAGGATAAGCCATTCAATTTGGATGGTCGGTCGTCCCTGGGAGACCGTATAGTACAATACTATTTATTTTAAGTGATCTATTTTTTATCCAAACAATGTGTTATTTAAAAGATTTCAAATTCTCCAATAAATCAATTATCCTTTTTAAAATTCTCCATCCAAACACGTATATATTCTTTAGAAGTCACAAATGGTCGCTAAATACTTTATCAACAAATAATTAGATGGAAGTATATTTAAGTTCAATCAAATTATACTGAGTAGTGGTAAAAGGACCACCTCGGAAAAATCAAATACGATCACTAAAATCAACTTTGCCCAAGCAAATATCCCTTAATCACAAAGATTATAGCGAGATTATTAACAATTGATTCATTATTATTAAAAGATTATTACGAAGACAGTCTATTAATACTTAACCATAACAACAACTGAGAGTAATCATTGTGGTATAGACAATTAGGTAATACGTGGCTCAATAAGACTGGTGTTTAAGATTTAAATCTTAAGCCCAATAAAACATTAATTAGGTAATATGTGGCTCAATAAGACTAATGTTTCTTTCTACACCTCCATTTCAACATGCATTCTTATATGGTAAAATGACTTATTTGTTCTTATATTTTCTTCTTCCTCTTTTTCTTACATTAGTTCCCACCTTTTTTTCTCTCACTTTTCATCTTCTTCTTTCTTTATTTTTATTTCTAGAATATTAATTCAGAATATTTTTTCTTTACTTTTATTTCTAGAATTTCTTTATATATATTTTAAATTGTACCGCTCAAAATATAAAAGTTGTATTTCCAAATTAACAATCCATACCATCTTCCGATTAAACAATCCAGATAAAAATAATAGTTATGAATTGGGGAGCAAATTTAAAATTTTAAAGTTTCTGGATGGAGGTGGAAAAAGAAGTTGCCAAATGTGTCCTTCTGTGTGGAAAATATGTTGGGATAAAGTTCAAAAAAAGTCCTGAAGAAAGCAAGAAATATTTTAGAATGATAAGCAAGAAATATTTTAGAATGATTTAAAGACACACTTTTAAATAATTATTGAGAAATAAAAAAAAAGTACTAATAAGAAAATGTATTTCCCTTTTAAGTCCTTGGTAACATTAAAAGGTTAACTACTGATTTTAAGATGTAAAATTGTAAAGTGTGGTTATCAATTGGATTGAAATCAGTCAAGTTCTTATTTTAAAGTAGAAAAAGGAAAAAAAAAAAAAAAAAAAAAGACCCTGAACATGTACATAAACAACTTTAAGAAGAAATCAAAATCCCTTCCCCAACTTAAAACACATATGAGATTTACTGAAAAATCTAACTGATGATATCAAGCTCCCGCAGACCTGTCTGGTAAAATGGAGGTCGCAAACATCATTTTGTTCATTTCAATTAATTCCTGAAACTATGTACCACCAAGAACCTGCTACTTAAAATATAATTTTGCAAGGACAAGCATGACATCTTTTGCTTATGCTGTCACATCTATTCTGTCATAATTTCTGACAAACCTCCAACAAAACCAGTTCTTGAGTGTCCAAGTTTGCCACAGCATTCCTTCATGTAGCTCTTGCAACATCCACCATATTCTCTCTTATCCAAACCAACACAACCATGAATAATTGAAGATTCGTTGCATGCTTTTGAAGAACATTCATTTCTGCAACATGCACTGTCTTCTCCCTCTTTTGAACTCTCACAGTCACACACAATAACCAAATTCTCGCACGTGTCTGAGCAGCCTTCACAGCAGGAACCTTTCTCTTTTTCTGTCAAACTTGAACAACCTTTCATTGGGGCTGATTCAACACGTTCAACGATGATGCCAACGGATATTTCACCTGTCTCATTCTTCTCATTTTCTGGATGACAAACTGACTTGTTATGATTCATGTCTTGATTGCAATGTAAAACACTTCTGCATTTATGGTCTTTCAGGTTTTCACAAACAGGGATAGGGTGGCAGTGGTTATCGGTGTGGTAATGGTGATCATACTCATGTTGATGCTGGTGGTGATCATGCTCATGACCATGTTGATGTTGATGAAGATCATGCTCATGCTCATGCTCATGCTCATGCTCATGCTCATGCTCATGCTCATGCTTATGCTTATGTTGATGGTGGTGATCATGCTCATGCTTATGTTGATGGTGGTGATCATGCTCATGCTTATGTTGATGGTGGTGATCATGCTCAAGCTTGTGTTGATGGTGATGGTGATCATGACAATGTTGATGTTGGTGGTGAGCATGATCATGGTCATGAGTGCCACCACACCCACTTTTGTGGTTATGAGACTTAGTTGAAGATCTGCAAGATTTTCCTCCATGTTTATGGCCTCTTGGAAGAAGTAACATGCTGTTGAAGATAACCACTAGACACGTTCCAACATCAGCAACCACTGCTGCCCAAACATATGGATAACCACCAATGGCCAAACCAATAATTGCAGCCTTGGTTGTGATCGACAAAATAATATTCTGAAGCACTTTCCATCGTGTTTTTCTTGCAAGTTTAATGGCTTCAGGTATCTTCTTAATGTCATTTGACATAAGAATTATATTGCCGGTCTCACTTGCAAGTGCAGAACCTGAAATGCCCATTGAGATTCCAATATCAGCGGAAGCTAATGCCGGCGCATCGTTTATACCATCACCGATCATGGCTGTCGGACCTTCTTTCTTAAATTCTGAGATGATTTTCACCTTGTCCTCTGGCAACAGTTCTGCATGGACTAATTCCAGAGAATGTCCCAGCTGTAGTTGAAGTATTGTTTCCATTAGTACTTAGCTAACCATGGGAAGTTAATGTTAATATCATACAATATTTAATGGCCTACTGTCATCTTATAGCATTAAAAAAATAAGTTCACTCATCAAAGAAATTAACTTTGAAACTAGAGAATTTGATACTAGAGAATTTGACACTAGAATAATCATGAAAGAATGGGAAGGTGACACACTTTTACCTATAAATATAGAATAGTCAGAAAAGAATGAATCTTTACATTTTTTCAAGAAAAAAAAGAATAAAAAGTAAGAAATGATAATATGAAATGAATGTAAAAAATTTAGTATATTCAAAATCACTCTGACAGCATGCTACAAATTTTGTATTCAACAAGGTTTGATCATATAACATTACACACCTGCTCCTGTGCTTGCATTGCAGCAGATTCACTGTCTCCAGTGAGCATGGCTGTTTTGATTCCCATTAACTTCAACTGCCCAATTGCTTCCTCAACACCTAACCTGCAAACATCTGAAAGAGAGAAAAATCCAACTGGGGTTGCTCCTAAGTATATGTATCCAGTGGTTTTTCCTCTTACATTTTCTCTTTGTAATATTGGAACTACAAAACAGAAGAAAAACTAAATATCAGCCTCTGGAGAGCATAAGGTAAATTCTAAGAGATATTGAAATAAGGCATAGAAACTAAAACTATTTTATAAGGTTACACCTCAATGGAAAAGGCACTCACCTGTTTCAGACCCGGCTCTTGCGGCAATTTTTTTATTTCCGATGTAAATAACTCTGTCATCCATTTTTCCACTAATTCCTTCCCCAGGAAAGTTTTCAAATTCTGTCACCTTTTCTGGCTCTGGTTCAACGGAGAGAGACCTTCCATAATCAACAACGGCAGATGCCAGTGGATGGCTTGACTTGCTCTCTACACTTGACACCCTGAAAAGTTGAATCTAAACACATTGATCTCATAATTCAACAATTTATTTAGTCTTTATTCTAAATAGGCTTCTGAAATTTCCTAACAAGATTATGTTATATCTGCTATACACACTAGAAACTCTACCACTATCATCTGCTTGTATGTTTCTTCCATTAATATGTTTCTTTTTTTAGTAAATAGTTTATAAACTAACACTCCTTGAGTCACATATTGTCATACATATATTAATCAAGTTTTTCCTTTTTATTGTAATTTTCTTAAATGAAATATAATTAAAATATTTTCCATTCATAGTGCATGTGAATCAGACCTTTTTTTTTAACAATACTACATTTCAAAAGAAAGATGGAGAGAAATAGCACTGTAGGGGAAACGAGGGGTGCCCTTACCAGTAAAGCAATGTGTTGAAATCCAAGTCATCTGAAAGAGATTGAAACTCTGTGACCACAAAATCACCCTTCGTTATGGTACCTGTTTTGTCAAAGGCCATGACCTTGATTTTTGCAAGTGTTTCAAGATGATGACACCCTTTGATGAGAAGACCTGATGTGGCTGCTCTGGTGTAAGCACAAAAGGTTGCAACTGGAGTTGAAAGGATGAGTGCACATGGGCATGCACTCACTAAAACAACCAACGCTGAGTGAAACCAGTAGTTCTCTCTACGTGATTTCAAGGCAAGTGGAATCACTGCTACAAGGGTTGATATGATTACAACGGCTGAAAACATTAACACAAACAGTAAGGCCGGTGAAACTGAATGCAGGCATGAAACCAATAACTGAACAATTACATTCTGCAAAATAACAGTCAGAATTGAAAACGAGAAACAGAGTCAAATGATGGGTTGAATAGCATGAAATGAACTAATGCTACCATTTTTATGTTTAGATATTCTGTGATCGAAAGAACTAGGAAAAAAATCGGGTTTTGTAAGTCTTTCTACTATATCCAATAATAGTTTCACATGGAGAGGTCAAGGAAAGATGCATCTTCTTATCATTGATCAATTACCACATTTTCAAGACATTGTAAGAGTCACAATTTTATACAATTGTTTTTTATCTCTATTTCTAAGTGATAGACACGTAAGTCTATTAATCGAGATATAAGAGTAAGGACTGTTCATCTCTCCAATAGAGAACTTAAGATATTAATGATTTTTTTAGAACTTCGTTATCACGTTAAGGTTTTGATCCTAAATCTGTATAATGACATTATTATGATTAATCATTTGTCGTTCGAGAGAGAAATATAATATGTCTCAGGAGAGTCTATAGAAAAATATAGTATGTCTCTTTTTATGTATTTGGGATACTCATTCTAATATTGTGACATCTCTAACATTTGAGGGTAAGAAAAACAAGATATAGATGTCCTTTTCGTATTTTATTTTAAAGAATGGAACCTATAAGCATTACATCTTATCAATTTTCATCATTTCAATCCAATTGCAGGCACCCAAAGAGTGCAGAAAAGCAAGTAAAAATTACCATTATTTGTAGAATTAACATTTGACAAGAAAGTAGTTCAAATACAATGTAACCATTCAAATACAATGTAACCATTCAAAAGTGAAAAAAAAAAAAACAAAAACTGGAGATTTAGTCTAACCTGGAGTATAAAACTTGACAAACTTATCAATCAATGTCTGAACGTTTGTTTTGCTGTTTTGAGCTTCTTCCACAAGTTTTGACATTTTAGCCACCACACAATCTTCAGCCAGTGCAGTAGTTTTCAGACTGATATAACCTTTTAATCGATCAAGAAAACAAGTATTAGCTTCACCAAATTGGTCTAGGAAAAAACTAATTGCCAACTATTTTACTTGTCATATTTTCTATATTAGCAATGACACTTTACATATAAGAACTATGAATTTACCATTCAAATTGATGGTGCCAGCCCATACAATAGAATCCTTTTGTTTTGCCACAGGGAATGATTCCCCAGTCAAAGTTTTCTCGTCAACTTCACAGGTTCCATCTAGAACAACTCCATCAATGGGTATCACCTCACCTGCTTTAACAGCTAAAATGGTGTTTACTTTCACCTCATCAGCATCCACAACCTCTCCCGTTTCAGCTATGACTGCTTTTTGAGGGGCTATGTTCATCAAAGACGACATTGCTGCAGTTGCCTGAATCCAAACATTTTTGCAATTTACATGTTTAACTTACAGTCAGAATTGAAACAGAGAACCCTGCTTTTGTTTTTTATGGAGAAATATATATCACAAAAAATTTGTCACTTTACATGGAATTCAGTTTTCTTCATCAACTATTAACTATGTTAATAATACTTAAGTCTTAAATCCCTCATTTTTTTATAATTTTGTGTAATCAACAGTGCAATTACCCAGGTCGCTTTCTTACATTCAAGAGTGTATAAGTTTAAATATACAGTATAACTATAAGGAATGTCTATCTGTGGGTTTGAACAGTCCACACTTCAATAATGAAATATGAACTACAATAGAATCCGGGTCCACTAATTTATTTTAATAATTCAAGAATAAAACATTAATACTTGAAACAGTGAAAAACATGATATACAAGTAAAATAAGTACCTTTCAAAAAAATAAAATAAAAAATCAATACCTTGTGGCTTGCCCTTGATTCTAGCCATTCTGCAATTGAGAAGAGGAAAACGATGGTGCCAGCTTCCAAATAATCATCCATAGCAATTGTCCCAATAACTGTCAAATAAAAAGAAAAAAAAAAGAGATGTGTAAATCTTGTAATAATATTTTTCAAATAATCAGAAATTAATTATAATTTAAAACTAATAATCTTCTTTCTCACTGGACGAAACGATTACATGAATCAAAAAGTGTTTCTTTAAGGTAAATCATATATACAGACAAAGTGACTAAATCATAAATAATCTAAAAAGTTACATAGTTTGATTCCATCACGTCTTGTACAGACATATGAGACGTTAGCATGTATATATGTTGTTTCTTTCTATCAAATGTTTGCTAGTTAGTAGAAAAAAAATGTTATTTTAAATTTATGACCAAGAGGTGATGTTTGTTTGTTTGTTACAGATAGCAGATTTTCAGTATGTTTGGTTGGTTGCACCTCAGCTGTCACATTTTCTGAGGTTTTTCACATGTGAGTTGCAGTAGCGTGCGTGATAAACTGAATTCTGAATGTATTTCCAACATCTGAATTCTGAATGTATTTCCAAAATGAGTTCTGAATGTATTTCCAAAATGAGTTCTGAATGTATTTCCAAAATGAGTTCTGAATGTATTTCCAAAACCTTGTCATATGCAAATTTTATATATTTTTTAAAGATTTGTTGTTTACTACTTGGGGTGGGAAGAATATATGAAGCCATTAAAGTTTCAATCATTCAAAGAGAATCATGAGTTACAAGGATGTCAGAATATTCTCATTTGATTCTTCATCTGATTATATCAGGTGGAAAAACAATTGAAGATATTTTATACATGGGAGAATCTGTGGGTGCCGATTCAGGATTTTTGGTTTTCAGGAGTTGTTTTGGGGATTTTTGTTTTTCAGGAGTTGTTTTGGGTTAATTTGAATTTAATGAGAGAACCAATAATTTCTTTTTGCTTTATTAAAAACTAGCAGGTGTCGCTTAAGGTTATTTTTAAATTTCTGTTAAATATAAAATTATAAAAGAAAACACAATCTTCTGGAAACTTAAATGGTTAGTTTAAAAATAAATATTCACAATTTAACAAGTTAAAATATAAAATTATATAAGAAAGAACAATTTTGTGCAGTTTAGTAAGTTATAAAAAAACAATTTACTCAAAGTTTAACAATTTAAAAACTGAGAATTTAAGGCAGTTTAAATCTTGGAACTTTATAGGTTTTAATTTGTTTTCAATTTCTAGAGATTGTTCTCAATTATGACTAATAACCAGTGTTAAAATCAGCAGAAATGCTGACAATAACTCTCTTAAATATATTTTTTTGAAGTGAATTAACAAAATTATAAATAGTTAATTTATGAACAAGCACTGTAATGTTGTATATTATTTAAAAAATATATATACTAAAAATACTCAATCTATTATTAAGAAAAAAAATAAGATGATTTAAAAAAACACAATTAATACTCCTTAAGATGATTTAAAAAAAAAACAATTAATACTCCTTAAAAGGAAGGAGTGGGGAAAATGGGAAAATATGGCAAAGATGGTTTTTAAAAGTTTATCTAAAAACAACTAGAAAATTATGATTAAAAAGTTAAAACTTTTATTCAAATAGAATATGATAATATATAATCCAAAATGTGTCATGATTAATACAGCCTGTCAACCTTTTTCCAGTTCTTCTACTTGGAAGTTCTCTATTTGAATTATGTCAAGCAACTTAATAAGAAGCAAAGAAATTGTTATAAAAAAACACTTCAATTTTAATATATTAAAAGAGTTTTTGATATATTTCAATAAATCAATATATTTTAAAGAAAGAGGAACAGCACCAAACATGTAAGAGAGAATCATATGTCTGAAAAATGAAGTGAAATTAAGCAAATTACCTGCTATGATCATGAGAATGCTAATGTCAACCCTAACATTACGAATGGAGACAAAGGCCTTTAGGACGATAGGGTAAATACCAGCAGCAACTGCACCAAGTGCTACGTACTTGAAAGGAGGGTACACAAATTTCAGAAAAGAAACCAAAAGTAAAACACCCGAAACAATTGAATAAGGGCTTGGCCATCTTTTTCCATGATTTTGATCTCCATGTACTCTGATATTAGCTTCTAATCTCGCTCGATTCAATGCCTTAACTGTCATCACAAACTTTTATTCATTTATCACTTTCTTTTGCAACAAAATCATATCTTTTTGCATCAAAAAAGATAAAGTTAACAGCCTAACTTTATTCATAGGGTACAAAATGCTATGTATATACACACACGAATAATACTCTTATTCCACATAACTACTTTACACTTCCACTTTCACCTTTTTTTTTTCAGATCTACTAATCAAACAATAATCTTCATTAATTCATAATACATATGTACCTAACTTGCAGTTTCTTCGTGTATTATAATTATGTTTTAAAAAATGTCAGTGTTTAGAATTTGAGTTTGTCTCATCTTATAATCATTTTCACTCGTCGGAATTTGAGAAAAAATATTCCTGATAGAATTTTCATTTTTAATAGTGACACTGATAGTCTTGAAAATATAAATACATTTTTTTTTAATTTGTGGGTCTTTGTCACTGGATGAATTCTATTTAATTAAAATTAAAAAACAAATGCTGGCTAATGAATTAATCTTAAGAACAATGAACTCTGAAACAAGCAAAATTTGTGTTTCTATTGCACTCCCTGCAAACATGAGATTTGTGGACTCTAATCTAAAGAAACTGTTTTGGTCATAGTTTCTTTCCAAATGGAAAAGTTGAGATAAGGAGGCAATTCCCTTTTTAATTGTTAATGCATCATCTTTAACACCAATACGTTACGTTTTGAGAAAAAGAAACTTTGTGATAAAGATGATAACGGTGTGCTCTCATTTTGTGGAAAAAAGATGCTCAAATACGCAAGATCATTCGCCAAACCAAACTTCTTTTCTTTCACCTTTTACCATGGCAAATACAAGCATGGCAATTATTAAAGAAAAATAGTTATCTCGTTTTCTTTTTTAACTAATTCTGAATTCCACACAATTATATATAAAAGAAACTATTTCTCCAAATTAATAAAGCACAGGTACCATAAATTCATTTTCATGATCAACTCCTCTTAACATAGAAAAAGAATCTTTTACCCCATTCCATAAACCATTACAAAAAGTTAGGTAATCCTATATGTCCACCTTTATCTTCAAGAGATGCGATCCAATGTGGAGTTGTCCAATCAATTATACAGAGGTTATTTGCATTAAAATTTAGAAATTAGTTTGAGTTTTAATAAATGATAATAATAAAGAAAGGAAAACTATTAATTTCAAAATAAAAAATACTTCTAAATATTTTATATTTTAAATAAAAAAAATTGTCTCTCCACAAAATAGTGTACGGTGAGTCTTGTGAGTGAGAGTAGAGAATAAGAAAAAAGACGATGAAAATTAGAAGAGAGAATAATGTACCGATTTGAAGTTGCGAAATGACAAGAGTGTCATGCAGAACAATGACAGTTCGTGAAGGAACTATGACAGAAACCTCTTTGATTCCTTCAAGTGGCTTTAAGATGTTTTCAATGAGTGGTACTTCAGAGGAGCAGCACAGACCCAACACATCAAAGTAGCTCTTCTGCAATTTTTTACTCTTCTCCATCACAAGATCAAATTCCAAAAGCCTTGATCAAAACACCTACCAAACGAAAGTCCTTTCGGATTCAGTAACCAAATCAAAAAAGCAAAACAAAAAACACATGCAGTGAAATAAAACATAGAGGTGATGCTTGAGGGACCACAAAATGAAGAAATGTCCGTTACTAATTCATCTGTTAAACCAAACCGTTAAACAAGGAAAGCAAGAAACCAGGTATCATGCGTGAGATCAATAACAAGATAAAAAACATGGTCCAAACTTTGGAAGAGAAACAGGTAAGAGACAGAGAGATAAAGAATACCACCTTGTTTTGAGGAGAGAGAAGAATAATACGGTGGTGATGGTAATGGTGTGAAGCGGTGCGAGGAATGGGAGTTTATGTAGGCAAATTCTGAGTGGGGATTTCGGAAAAAAAAATAAAGAATAAAAGATGCAATATGATTGGACCCGTGTTTTACTTCTACAGAAAATAAACTAATTTAAAAGTTAATTAATTAAGCATCAATTACTCATCAAACTTCAATTATTATTTTTTAATTTTTTAGGGAGGGATGAGACAAGTGTGTAGTGGAGAATCAACAAGATTAATGGAATCCACCTATGAATCCACCGTTTCTTTTTATGTTTTAGGACATCAAAACATCATCACAAAGCATGATCTTTTCTTATTTCAGGAGCTACATTCACATGGGATATTAATTTTGTAATGTTGTTTAGAATGACCACAAACTGTAATTAAATTAGCTTTATTAATGATAACAATGAGTTTCGTCAAGGAAAAACTATATATAAAAGTAAGAGATAATTGTTTTAGAATTATATCAATTAACTCATGTTTGTAATGTTATGACTAGTTAATTGACAGAATAATTAAGTTTGTAACTGAAGCTTCACGTGCCAGCAGATAAACACGAGAAAGTTGTGTTTTTTTGTTTGTTCTGATTTTATGTTTTTTAACATTATACTTTAGTAACTCTTCTAATAAAAAAGTTAAATCTTGATTTATCAGATTATTTAAACTCTTGTATGATAAATTTATAACTCCTGTTTTGGTTTCGAACCACTAACTTTATCCTGATTCCTTCAATCTTAGATAGACCTTTTACACTTCTGGGATCAAAACTTGAAATAAATTTATCTCTAAATTAAATTAATAAAAGTTTGTGATGTTTTAATTTAATATCGATAAATGCAATTTTCTAATTAAATATAAGCATGCATTTGAATAATTTATTTATAAGAGGACACGTTTATATGTTACCGTGACATGATTTTAATTAAAAATAATTATTTATTATTATTAGAAATACTCAAGCATTTAGTTGGAGAAAATATCCTCTTTCATAAGCATTTGAAAAAAAAAAAGAAAATTTAGTTTTCTTATAAATTAAAATTAGTTCTAAATTTAGTATAAATTATATAAAAACATGCATTTGAATTAATTTATTAAAAAACTATAATAGTAATTTCGTTACACTTATAGTTCATTTTAATTTGTTTGTTTTTTTTATTTAATTGAATTCTAATATTTTTTAAAACAGAATGACATCTTTAAGATTTTGATATATGAGATTTTTAAATCATATTAACACTAATTTAATAAAAAATTTAAATTAAGTATTTAAAACATTATCAGAATTCAATTAAATAAAAAAAGAAATAAAAACCAAAATAAACTATAAATACAAATATAAATATAGAAATCAAATTAATGATGAAGCCATAAAAAAAATAAAAACATGTTCATTAACTTACCAAAGGATGAATTTTATGGTGCTTAGTGTGTTAATGTCCTCTTTTTCCTACCCTTTATCTATGACTTTTGCTAGTAGTTAATGCATGCCTATTCAAACACTGATTCCAATACATTCTGCTGTTATAATTTCTTGGCTATTTCAGATTAAGTTGTTCCTTTTTCATATTGTTATCACAGTATATGTAAATTACGTATATAATTAATTAAAGATAAATGAATCTAAATTTTAGTTATCATGGCAATATCTCTGAGCACCAATTCAGATTCAACAAAACGATAGAATAGTAGCAAACCATGAGCATTAAGAATATATATATTTTTACAAAGAAAATATAATAAAATATAATAATTTGTAGTTGCCATGCCACTTTAACTACGGAGTGTAATCCATCAAAATCTAACCATAATTTCTTCTTCTATTTTTGGTGAGACACTATAAAAAAATTATATCAGTAGTGAGGGACAAATTTAGTAGACAGACAAAGGAAGAGTATACTATAATAAGTAATGTGTTCAATTCTCTGGTCATACTATTTTAAATTATTAGATGACATTTATATTTATAAATAAAAAGTCATTACAAATGACATAATAGTCAATTAAAATATAAAAATCCTTATATTAAAGATTAATATTTTTATAATGTGTTAGAAAGTGTGTTATAGTGTTAGAAATTGTATAGCTATATATAATATTTACCAACAAAAAGTTTTTCGCGTCCTTTTTAAAAATATAAAATAAAACTTTTGACGAATTTTAGGTTTAATAAGTTTTATTTTTAAATCCATGATTATTCTTGTTTAGAGTGTCTAACGGGATTTTCTCGAAACTGAGAACCTAATATTCTAATAGTTTTGTTTTAGGTTTCTTATGTTATTTTTGTCAGTTTTACTATTTTATGTGTTGTATTATTCATGTGTCTGTCAGGTTGTTTATTCTTGAAATGGCTTCACATATTTGACAAAGGAAAATTCACAAAAGTTAAATTAAAAACCCTTCCAATGAGAATCTAGTCGAGATATTTTTAAATACTAGTTAAAATCTTTTAATTAATCAATTTAAAATAAAATTATTGAATGAAGTGATAATCAGTATATATAAATTGTAAAGATTAATTAAAGTGATATAAGGAAAGAGATTTGTTTTAAATAATAAAAACAGTGGCGTGATTAGATAACAGCGACAAAAACGTGGAATAATCAAGAGGTGAGTGTGACTTACAAGTCACTAACACCGTCTTCTTCTTTCTTCTGTTTTAATCAAACATTATTCAACGGGGAGAGTAACACAATGAACTCTCCAAAAATAAATAAAAATGGAATAGTCAATTGCTTTTGAATTTCTCCATGACAATTTCGTTTAATTGTTTAAGACCAAAGTTAGAAAAGGAAGAGAGAGAAGGCAGTTAAAGAAACATGAAAATGGTATCATATACATCGAAGAGAAGAGTAATTTTTTTATATGAGTCTATTTTATCAGCAGTTTAGATAATTTATATATATATATATATATATATATATATATATATATATATATATATATATATATATTATGAAAATATTATTGTATAAAGATTATAAATAATATTTAATTTGATAGGAGTTAAATTAAAAAAAATAGAGAGAAGTTAATAAAAGATCATGGTCTTATTCATTATTTTTTTTCTTTCTCTTCATCTTCATTAAAATAAATCAAGAGAAAATCAAAGATATATGTTCTACAAATATGATTGGAAACTATTTTATGAAATAAAAGATTTTATTGTTTATTAATTATTGATCTATAATTCATAATTTAACATATTTATTGTTCAATTTTTTTTTCTTTACTATTTTCTTTCAAACTTATCTCTCTTTCTTGCCTTTCATTTGATTTGTCATGAACATCCAACTTTATCATGGTTTAGTTTTGATGCAAGGGAGAGAGTGACTGTTGAAAGAAAAATAAGGATTTATTAGTTGGATAGAAAATGATGAAATGAATGGGAAAGCTGGAGTTAAAATTGGAAAAAAAAAACTATAATTTAATTGAATAGAAAAGAAGGTAAAATTATAAAGTTTAAGAGGAGATTCATTGAGTGTTATCTTTTACATACAAATCTATAAAAAAATATATATATAAAATAAGCAAGACAATAACGTAATTGATTATTATATTTTTTAATTTATTTTTAATAAATTGATTATTATATTTTATAAAATAAGCAAGACAATAACGTAATTGATTATTATATTTTTTATATTTCTAAAACATATAGTATATTACATAATATCTTAATTAAAATGTGTGTCTGACTTAGTGTTTAGGACAATTATTTTTCATATCTTATTGGTAATATGATTTTTTGGTGATAAAGTTTACTTGTGAGTATGTATCAAACAAAAAAAGGCTAAGGGTGATGAAAATGGGGTCGCTCTTGATATGGTTTTTGTCCATCATCCCTCAAGCATATGAAGTTGTCATGGAGGATGGAAATTTTTTCTACAAGCAAGAAACTCCTGACACCATTGCAACATAGGAGGTCAATTTGATTCAAACTAAGAGTTGCATGACAATGATCAAGTACAAGATAAAGAATCCTTTAATTTGCTTCATTCTTATTGTAATTATTAGTATTAGAAACATCCAGAATTTAGTTATTAATATGTTTGAATACTTAGATATTTGAATTTTATAGTATGTGAACTTCATGCGTGAAATTATTGTTTTGAGTTTCTTGGGTTTTGTGGTAATATGGAAAAACTTGATTGCACTTTCCTTGGGTGATTGTTCTTTAGTCAAAGATGAACTTTCATCTTATTAAAGTTATATGTATTGGATGTGTGAGGTATAAAAATAAAAAATAAAAACCCTATTGCCTTGGTTCAGGTTCGAACCGAGGCAGTAGAGTTGGACATATTGACTCAGTTCAAAGGGAACCGAGACATAAAGTTCTGCGAAAAAAAAGTTTTATAAACAAAAAACATACTGCCTCGGTTGCCTTTGAACAGAGGCGAAATCCTACACTTTTATGTCTCGGTTCGGAACCGAAGCAAAAAGGCTACTCCTTTTTGTCTCGGCTGGATATGTCTCGGTTCAGAAACCGTGTCTATGAACGAAAAGAACCGCTGTCGTTTACCCTGACTACATTAATGAGATCTAAAATATAATAAGCACATTTCAATTTAAAAGAAAATATTTTTTCTCAAAAAAATTAAATAAGTTATTATTATTATAAAACAATATTAATACAACATAAACATTTTCATACATTAAAATTGAATAAAATGCTACATTATATATTATATATATATATATATATAATTGTTATGATAAATACAAAATGATGTCAGTGGAAGTCTCACATTTATAGATTTGAGAAAGTTTAACACTAACCCTGTTCTTTTGAGTGGATTTGAGGGAGTGGATTTGAGGGGATTTGAGAGGATTTAAAGATAATTTTTTTTGTCGTTTATTTGAGTGAATTTGGAGGTAAACGAGAGTGAATTTGGAAATAAATTTTTTTAATTTATCACGTCAATACAATTCTATACTAATTCTCACAAATTTTATTTCCAAATTCACTCAAATAAACGACAAAAAAAAGTATCT